TATATATAGAGAGAGAGAGAGAGAGAGAGAGAGAGAGAGAGCGGGAGGAGGCGTTAAAATTATATTTAACAAAATTATTATTACGCTCGCACTTTAAAATAAATATATAATAATTTTAATTAAGAACTGATAACCACATCGTTAACGGTGTTACATTAAGCGTTGTCTACAATGAGACTTGAGACTTAAGAAAATTGGCCAATCATTGCCGGATATTCATCATCTTCACGTAAGAGGAATAATCAATTGTGATTGGTCAATTTTCTTAAGTCTTAAGTCTCATTGTAGACGACGCTTATATAGCGTAAAGTCGTTATAATTTTCTTCATATACATCAATTTGGATCGCGCGGTCGTAAAAACGGGCATAATCATCGGGATATAGCGCATAAATTATATACACTATCTATGCCCAATCAAAGTTTTATATCAAAATGAGGTCGAAAGTTCATTTTCTCGCTTCTACGAAATTACCAAAGTTATGCGCGTTCACTTATATTACGGTTTACTTCTCAACATCAATTGAGAAGTAAACCGTATATATTTATGGATTGTCATCGCGGATTTGCTGTCTATACATATATATACACGGCCGAATCAGACTACGAGGCGTCGCGAGTGCTTTGGTACGTCTTGTGTACTTTGCCTTCGACAGAAAAAAAAAGTTGAATACACACGGCGTGGGAGACGTAGGGGACGTACCAGACTGAACTGGAAAATCCGCGATTACTACGTATAGATTTTCCGATGAAACAAGGAAAATGCATTCCACGTAGAACGCGGAGGACGTTTTATGGCGTGGCATTCCGGCCAAAAGTATATATTGCAAAAAAATGCGTTTTTACATATATATGTATGATAAAAGAAGAAAGATAAAGAAGGAGAGAGACGATGTGGGGAAAGACGTCGAAAGAGCGCATAAACGCGACTCTCTTCGATTAAAATAAATTCACTAATAATTATTAACAGTAGCATTTTATTAACAAGTATTTTAATTAACTGTTAGTTGCAATTTCCTATTCAACATATGACTGCAACATAACACATAACCAGTTATGTAACACAACAGCATACAACAGTTATATTGTAAAGCGAGGGAATTGCAACTAACAGTTATGTTACTATTAATATAGGTGTATTTGACTGGCAATCGTCATTATTAAAGAATTATATTAATTTAGAAAACATAACGGCCAACAAATAGCAGAAATTTTTACTGCAGTACGAAATCCCGCCCGGTGGAATTTCTTCGGAAGTTTTTGCCAGATGGACTCTCTCGTATATCTAGAATAATTCGGTTCAAAGCAATTTGATCGGAAGCGACCAGAAAGGCGTTGATACTCGTACGTGGGGAGGGGGACAAGGATCCCTAACGTATATATACGGTGACGTTCGCCACTCGGGCTTAATAGTTTACACACAACGAACCAGGGAACCTTTTGAACATCTCGTGTTACAAGCTCGCTTAAAAGCTCGCCCGGAGAAGCGCATTTCTCTCTAACGACGCGGCATTGAGACTTCTCTTCTCTCAACGGTGACCGAAAGTTATACCGGCGCTGCATCGAAATGGGACACTTGTCGATGGCGACCAGCTGCGTCCTCGTGGCACTCGCGCTGCCGAGGCTCATCTGCGGACGTCCTGCGACGATCGGCGACGACGGGTAATTATCTCACGATAACTTGAAGTTCAAAATTCGGTATATACAAGACATCCTAAAAACGTCGAAAAGATGCCTTTTAAGCCTGTATCAGACTAGATTGAGATTGGATTGGGATTTAACCCAATTAGAAGAAAGAAAATCCAATCTCAAATTCAGTGAACTTTGTTTTGATTGGTCAAATTCCAATCCAATCTCAATCTTAATCTTTAATCTGATACTGGCTTTAAAGACATTTTTCCAATTAAAAGACGTTTAAAAGATGTCTAGAAGACGCTTAAAGAGACGTCTCATGTTCCGTTTTTTCTTTTTTTTTAACTTTATGTTGCCTGGATATTTTTATTTTTCTTCACACGTATGCGGAAATGTTAATCGAAATATCGGCACCGAAAAAATCGAGAGATCGGTATTCCTTTCAACGTCCGTTTTGCGACGACGGAACCTCTTCCGCTCGCGTCTCTCTCTCCCACGCAAAATTTTCTTACGTATATCGCGTGCATGTTACGTCAGAACAATATTATGAATATATTGGACATTATTACATCAGCTGACGACTGATATAATTTTGGTCCTTTCGAATATACGAATGCATCGATTGTTTCGTAACGAAGAAGACACGTCCAATATTACGTTGTAATTTTGAATTGAAAAGCAAAAAATCGGAATTTTCCAGATTTTCAAATACGCGTCATATGTCATTCGACATTTCATTTTTCTTCTTTCCTATTTTATAATAGGTCGATCTTGAGCACGTTGGAATCACGTGTCTCGAAGCCGGAGGATTTCTCGGAATTAAAAGCGATCTCGTCGCTCATCGAGCAAGAAGACTTGAAAATTCCAGTTAAATTGTGAGTTGAGATATCGAAATCTCTTTTTCTTTTTTTTTCTTTTTAAATCGCGTTGAATTCACCGCGTAACCGGCCGCGTGTTCGCAGACGATCAAAACGCCTGTCGGATCAGAGACGAGCTGAGCTGGAAGCGCTGGTGACTTTGTCGAAAGTTTGTCCCCCGTTGCTGCAGAGTATACAGGAAAACGGACGACTGGATCCAGAAAGAATGTAAGAAGAATTTAATGAAAGAGCCACATATAATTGGCAGTGGGTGAAGAAAGAGAGAGAAAATAATAGAAACAGCAATGATAAAAATATACTTATAATGTATGATAATTTATATATTTTTTTCTTATAATTTTCATATTTCGTATTTTAATGTGCTATAAGTTGCACGCTGCAGGTGTGATAATTTTCCGAATTTGTGTGTAATTAGTCGATGGATTATTACAGCGGCCGGCGAAAGCGTTTCACGGTGGATCAACCTCCCATCGAACTGGCGCCTATCAAAGGGAAGCACATCGGGGATCCGGCGTATTCTCTAATTAGGTAAATATTTCCGTCCGTTCATTATACGGATCACGATTCGCTCGCAGACGCACGCGAATCTTCGTCGTATAATTGCGTCGACAAAAATCGACGAGGAAAGAATGTGAAAAATCAAGGACACGGCGGCGGCGCGAAGATCACGTCTTTTTGCCGCGGCGGCGGCGGTGGCGGCGAGCGGTACATACGCGCGCTCGCCGCTCGCGGTTTTTCGCATCGTGCGTAAATCGCGGCCTACGATAAGTACGCAATTGCGTAGGTCGTAAATTCGAAGAGAGTCGTTAATGTTAAACATAAATCTACGCGCCCGGGAGTGACGCAAGGCTATCGCTGTATCAGCGATGATAAGTCATTGCAGCGGCCGTTGGGAGCGTCGATTCACGACAGCGGCGCGGGCGCCCGTGCCATCGCGCCTCTTATCGCCCCGCGCGCGCACGCGACATTTCGCAATTATTTCGATTTACATCAAAAAGAAATAATCAGCTCCGCTGATTACGTCCTAAGAAACGGAGTGAGAAAAAAAGAGAGAAAGAGAGAGAGAGAGATTATAATTTTTATATTTTATTAGTAATTTTCAGTATGCGCGTTGCAGAACTTAATAAGACTTAATAATCGTGAACGAATAATTTCTATCTTTAAACGAATAATTATGATTAATTTACATGCATTTGGTGTACACATATATTAACGTTTTAATATATATTTATCGTATTTTTTTATTTTTAGCTGAATAGCGTTCGACAAATGAAAGCGTGTATTTCATATCACGAGGGATGAGCCTGACACGTTTAAAAGGGAAAACATTCTTTGACACACATTCCGTTTCACGAAACGACTACTTAGGAAAGTTAGCAAACTCACAAAACGAAGATTATATTTCGCAACGACATGGAGGGGTGAAGAATAAATCATAGATTTCTTAGATTCATATCTATACTATATGTAATTTGATAAAAATATATGGGTGGAAAAAATGGACAAATTACTTATTGATAGATTATTTATTTATTTATTTATTTATATGGATCGAATATCTTTGAATAAAGGCTGATTGCTAAAAAACACTCACAAATTCTTTTTTTTTTGTCTTAATGAACAATCTAACATTGTATTTCGTAATTATTGTATTAATATTAACCTTTAATTCTGTCAATGCCCCATCATTATCTATTTTGAATTAAACATTACAATTTTTTACATTTTTCGAATTTTGTTGAATGACGTAAAATTCCTTCAAAAGACAAAGAACAGTCTTGCACGAGCTTCATCTCGTTATCACTTTTACATTTTTAGCGGAAACCTTATAAAGTTATGTTACACTGTTTTAGTGTATCGAGCATCCGCGGGTACTCACTATTAATTTCTTGAAAATAATAAAAAAACCAAAAATACTTTTTAACAAATAAAATATAAAACTAAATATATTTTATATAATTTTGCACTTTTTAAAAAAATTTATTATATAAGTTTATCTAAAAACAAATATGAGATCATACAAGTGGCCAAGTATTTGATTAGCATAGAGATAAAAATATTTTATTCTAAACCAAAAATATTGTTTAAACAAACAGTCCAAAAGTATATGCAGTAAAAATTTAATGCCATTGTCTTTTCAAATAAAGTTCCATAAATCAAACTTAAAGTGACTAAAATGACCAATGAGATCATAGTGAATCAAAAACTTGGCCCGGATTTATATATATCTTAACAATTAATGCAATCCTGCATGATGTATTGTTCCTTTTCAACCGACTGTTAGTGACTCTAGACTCTTGATTGAATGAGCATTGTTGTTATATTGGACAATAATAGATTAAATTAACTCACAAATAACCCTTTCCGTGACTCACCGAATTTAATGAAACTTTGTAGAGTAGTCAAAAATAATAGACTATTATTATTTTTTTGTATCAGCAATGATACAAGTTTAAGGGTACAAACTACCTTATAATGATCAGCACGAGTGCTTAATTTTTTGCATTTTAGCTCATTATATTGGAGATATCTTACTTATACTTATTTTATCTCGCTCTTTGCCGAGCTCAGGAATAACCGACAAGGAGGTGGCGAGAGTCTATCTCTATTTAATCTTTTGTTTTATTTTTTATTAATTTTTTATATTTTTTACGCTTTAATAATTTTTTTACATTTTTTGTTGTACAAATTTTTCTTATTTTCTTCACAATTATGCCACTTCTCATCTATATTTATTTTTTCATTTTTATTCTATATTTATATTTTCACAGAAATGTTCATAATCAATTATCTTCTTCTTGATTTATAAATTTATTTAAATAGTCGTGGTACAAAAGTGAATATTTGCAAGAGAAACTTGATTTTGATAATCCCAGATTATTTCAAAAATTGTAAAACTATCTGCGCATTATATGTAACAATTATAGCAGTAATAAAAAGTGCTATTTGTGCAAAATATTTGTGCATATAAGAATTTTTTTTTTAATATCATTTCAGCAAAGAGTACGTATACAATAAAATAAAAAAAGAGATATAGGTAAAAAGTAACGTAATTGTGAAGCAAATAAAAATAATTTGTAAAATATATATGTAAAAAAATATATAAGAAATAACAAAAACAAAAAACTAAATGGGGATACTCTCGCCACCTCCTTGTCAGTTATTCTTGGGTTCGGCAAAGAGCGAAATAAAGTAAGTAAGTAGCTCCAATACAATGAGCTAAAATGCAAATAATTAAGTACTCGTGCTTTACTATATGAGGGATAGTTTGCATTCTTAACCTTTAAACCATCACGCCCAAAAAAAATCACACTAACCACAACCCTTCGGTCTGACAGATATTATGCTCTCGCTAATTTTATAAGTTAATTATTATAAAAATGTATGTTTTCTGAATACTTGTTGATGAGGAAAAAGAAAACTATGTTTTAATGTGAGGATTAACAAAAAAATTAACAAAAAAATAGAAATAAAATATATTTAAATGGTGACAAATAAGAAAATTGTTGAAGTAACGTTCCAATATAGCAGTCTGTGATATAGTTGTTTAAAGATTAAACCTGCAGCATTGCCAATATAAAAAAATATGTGTCTATTATTTTTGACAACTCAACAAACGTACCAAGTTTTATTAAATTTGAGTCACGGAAAGATTCACTGAGAAAAATTTCCAAGCTTTTGCCGTTCAAAAAGATCGGATTATCTTTTTAAAAACTTTTAACAAACTTCTTTTAACAAACAGATATTTACGATCAACTTGGTCGGATAAAATATCCGATCACTAGTTCATCGGAAATATATTGATCGGAATATCAAGAGAAATATCCGATCACTATCTATTATAACTAGTTCATCGAAATCACCATCTTACTATAACTAGTTCATCGAAAATATATTGATTACTTTCTTCTTCTTTTTCCTATAATGGCCTTATTCCCCTTAAGCAGAGATAAACTTGACCAAGCTTACAATGCACAGATAAGACACCCGGCAGGTCTCGTCGTACCGAGTTCAAAAAATGATGCAATACTCGTTGAGCCGAAACGAAACACGTCCACCTTCCTCAAAGTAAAAAACTCAAGTAAAAGGCTAGTGACAGCACTGATTGTGAGAAAAGAGGGATTTTCTGATCGGATATCACATTTTACTTGAAAATTTCATAGGGTAAACCGACAACTAGATCATTACAATTGATCAGATAAAATATCCGTTCAAGTATAATATCCGATCTAGTTGTTTATTAGTCTACGAAATTTTAACGAATAAAGTGTATGGCGGTTTATTATCCGTTCACAATTTATCGGAAATCACATTTCATCGGATAAAGGAAATGATTATTTTGTATTCGATACGATTATCGATCAAATGATTGGAAAAGGACTTAAAAATCAAAACCATTGGACATTTTTCTCAGTGTAAGGTTACTAATTTTCAGCTAAATGATCGTTTTTTATTTCAATAAAAAATTATTTATCAGTTCCAATTATTTTATCAAGTAACAGTATAAAATATCATTTTCAAATCATGTATAAAAGCACATTTCAATACATGATTTAACGCATTAATCAATTTTCATATAACGTTATATTAACTGAGAACATTCGTTTCAGATTTCAGTACATAAAACCTTGGAAATTAATTGTTATCGTCCATACTTTCTCATTGCCAAATAATTAAATAAAAAGAGAAACTATATTAAACTACATAAACTTGTAAACTGAAGTTTATATTTCGCATAAATTTAATAAATTTATATAGGAAACGTGTACAAAGCAGATTTAACTTTTTAATTTTGTAATATTTTAAATTATTATTCGCAAAAATGAATTAGTTCAAAATATCTGCACCAGGCAGATTATGCTTATTATTATAGATAAAGCTGGCATCGGTTTACGTACCACGCTAATGTTCACCGAAACACCGTTAAACAAAAATATTGAATAGACTTTTCTCAAATCAGTTTTTCTCTTAAAATACTGTTAATTATAATGGAAGCGTTTGTTAAAAATGATGTAAATAAGTCGATTACACAAAAATGTTATCAATTTTACCAGCGCAATTTGTAAATTGATAAAACCAAAAGTATACATACAAACATTTTATTATTTATTAGTTTATATCATCTGCCATAAGGATAATTACAATTATAGGTACAATCGTACATATTGTAATCTCCTCATGGCGGATAACATAAACCAGTAAATAATGCTTGTAATATATATACTTTTGGTTTCACTGATTTATGAAAAGCGCTGGTAAAATTGATAACATTTTTGTAATCGTTTTAGTTTATTTACATAATTTTCTTCTTGTATTCAGAACTTAATACGAAGATCATAAATGAATTCAAAACGAATTTGACATATCCCGAAATACATATTGAAACAAAATGACGTATAAATATTCTTCTTCGCGTGCCATACGATTGTCAGCGCGTATAGGCGATCTCTTCTCTGCACATATCCGTATAGGTATATCAAACCTACAACAGTTTTCACGCCGGCTCCAAACGGCCTATTAAAAGAGATTTTCCTGGGCAAAGTTACTCTCGGTGACGATTTGCCTTTCGAGAAGTGGCGATCGCTTTTAAATTGATTAAAATCGATTTAGAGTTATACTGTTCTGCAGTCTTTAACACAGAAAGCCTTATACGCGCAGCTCTCGCGCCACGACAGCCATACGTAATACTATTAAAAAAAATGATGTAAATCAAAATTTTAAAAATTTAATACGAGAATTATTTAAACAATATTATTATAAAATTAACTATTAATTATTATAAAATTTAATACGAGAATCACAAATAAATTTAAGACAAATTTGACATCTCCCGGAGTACAAATTGAAACAATATTGTTCATATTATGACGTGATATTATAAAAGTTTAAAATAATAAAATTTTAAAATTTAATACGAATTATTTAAATGATATTATTATAAAATTAAAATTCGAAATGAAAGTAATAAAGAATCCTTTTACACACATTACACGATTTCGAGATATTAAAATCGACAAAAATAATGAACCACTTATTGAAATGTTAAATAATTATTCTTTGGCCCTTCACACATAAGATTAGAAGTAAGTCTCATAACTTCACAAATGATTTGATACAAAAAATATTCTGTTGCATACTTAAGTACACGTAGATGCATCTATCACTTTTTTGTGTTATAACCGCACGGCAACCAAAATATGCTTAGGGCATATTTTTCTTTATTTGACTAATAAAGAAATAAATTAGATATCAATTTGTTTCATAAGAAATTATGTATTTTAAGCTCTATATGTTTTATAGCATATTTTACACATAAAAACATATTTTTGCATATTTTACCCACGCATGCATAATATTTACATATTATACTTATTTTTGTTGTATATTTCACATTGTTTTCTGATTTAGGTTTATGATTAGTTTTTTCTGACATAAATTACTAATTAAATTTAAAAATAAAAATGCAAACAAATATCAAGTATATTCTATTTCGTTATTATAAGAAACTTAAGTAATATTTAAAAATTTTTGCAATAAGAAGTAATTTTTAAATGCATATATTTTTTTTTTAGAGCAATTCTTTCAATTT